ATGGGGAACCCCTGAAGGGGGTGGTTTTAGCCCCCCCCCCCCCCCCCCCCAAAAAAAAAAAAAAAAGAGGCAGCTGAAAGCAGTAACCTCAGCTGGCAAAACCAGAGTAGGGAGAGGATGCCTATTCACTGACTTTAATCATTAATATCTTTTAGTTCATTGGAAGGAAGGAGTAGGTACTAAAGGTTATTATTTAGATAAATGATCCAAAAGACAAGCATAAAAAAGACAGATATGCTGAGTGAAAGCAGAAACCCATTTCCCCAATCCATTAGCATTTTTAGTTTTAAACTATAAGGAGATTATCTAATACGTGACACCAGGATGACTGAAAAAATGTAATCAGATTACTTTCTTGTTATTAAAAGGAAGAGGTAGGTTGCAACTAAAATGAGCTTTTAAATTAGTGATTTGTGCACATCACAGTTAAAAAAAAAAAACAATTTTAAATCAGGATGGCATCATTGATCAAAGTCCCACATTATGGCACTTTGCATTTCCTATATGAAATTTATATAATCAAAGTTTCTGTGCCAAGAAATATAAGTCTGTATGGGAGACTTAACTCAGTGCTGAATGCTGACCTTATCTAAGGAACACTTGTGTTATATTGTCATTTATAAGGCAGTTTTCATCAAAAAAATGTAAATATTTAGCAAGGGGCATTTCCGTAAATATTTAACAAGGGACATTTCCTTTTCCCTTCTCCTTTGTTGTTAATTGCTTAGCTTTAACATACCAATTGTAATTCTATTCCCTGAAGATCAGTCTTTATTTTTTCAGCTATTTGTTTAATTCTGACAAGACAACTTTAAAAAAAGAATACTCGGAAGTAGGAGTGACACTCCGGAATAAACACCTACGAATGCTTGAATTCAACAAACAAATCCCCTAAAATTAACAGTTACTGTTACTTAGTTAAAATCGTCCTTTACCTGTTTATTTATCTATAAAAGTGGAAACACGGGCAAGAATAAGTATCGCGCCACTGACACAGGAG